TGCGTAAAACTATTTTTGAAACGCAACGCTATGCATCGAATGCAATTTGTTGTAATTATAATAACGACAACACGTAATGAATTGAAAAAAACAAATATCAACAACAACAAAAAATATGCAAATGCAATTTCGAATATGGAATACACAACTACACACCCAAACACAACTATACAACTGGGACACGCCACGCCCCACCGGCACCATCTTCATGTAAATCGTCATTTGGCACCCCACACCCGACATCCGACACTCGACTCCATCAAACGGCGCACACTCGGGTAACCGTATGTAGACCATCCCATACATCCGCCAACTGACACGTCCGACCCATGGGACTTGGAGTTTCCACCTGATAACGAATATGCTATCAAAAGTATTAATGGTGTCTTCCACGTCTACAAGGATAAGGTAAGTGCGCCATATTGGTAAACTATGTATACTAATTTGTTGTTTTAATTGTTTTGCTTTTCTGATTAACCCCTACTTTAACAGGAATGCACGCAAGTAGTTAAGTGTGAATATCCAAATCTCAAAGAATTTGTGAACGATATGCAAGTTATGTGCAACATGATCGTCGATGGACCCCTGTATGTTGGCTAAACCAACTGTTATGGCTTTGCTATTATTTTATCCTTTCTTTCTTTTTTTTTACATAGGAAATCATTTTGTTATCGCCGTCTTTGCTATCTCTCATCGAAATTCCAATTACACGTTCTCTTGAATGAGCTGCGTGAGTTAGCCTCACAGAAAGCGGTGCCACATCGCGATTTCTACAACATCAGGTAAGTAAGATTTTTTTTAAAAACGCTGTCCACACGCTGTCTAGCCTCCATTGAGTTTAGTGTCGCCAACTATGTTTCTTTCAACACCTGATTTGGTTATAGTAGTATATCCCAATACCAATATTCATTCAAAGTCCAGTTTCGTTCGAAAGTTAGTCGATTGCTCACTAAATACCTCTCAGAATCAAAAACTTGGTACTAAAATATTAAATTAGTTAGAATCTTCAATAAACCACAACATTTAAAAGAGATTCGCAATTAAAAAACTACAATTTCTATAAATTTTTTAATCACCATTTAAAGAAATTAAAATGTTAGGTTTACGATATGTATATATGTATGCAGTTTAGCTTATTACATATCTCAGATAGATTCAGTGTCCCAGCAATCAACGTACTACACATCAACGATTCGTGTTAGTAAGGTAGACGATGCCCATCAGATAACTTCAGGAGCTAAAAGCCCTGCAAATAGGTCTTGCTGAGAATTTAGAGGACTCCCATTCTGCATTTCTTTCTATTTTTTTTGGATGAAGAGGCACAAATTGAAGGGAAGTCTGCTTTCGCTAATCATAGAAGGGCTTCCAGAAGGGACATACATATGTACTTCAGAAGGCTTTTTGGAGTAGTTGTTGTTCTAAAGCTCCTTCTTTAATTCAGAAATATCATACTTCTTTAATGTTTTATATATAAAGTTCCTATCAAATATTTAAATAGGAAAAGCCCTTATAGAAAACCCGCAGGGAAGCTCTTCTTTCAGCACTTGTTCGGTAAGCCTTATAGAACGATATTCCTTATGAACGCCGACGTAAATTGTCTTCTAGGTAGCAGCTTCAAAATGTGGCAGATCGGATGATTTGTTTCGCAACAAAGTGGCAAAAATTGTTTACTTAACATACAATTATGTTGCTTTACAATGAGCGTAAGGGCCTAACTTTGTAAGTGATGTGCAGGCATCATCATAACGAATTGCCCGGCTTTTCGGAGTGTGATTTTGTGGCAGTCTGAGACTTCTTCCGGTCTAACTAATCTCTGGCGAACAAACTGGCGCAACGTATCTCAGACAATTTCGGATAATTGTCTTGGGTATTGTCAATAGTTTCTCCTTTTATTAGTCTCCAAAGCTGCCGTTTTTGTGAGGACAAAGTTTTCGAAGATTACCTCTCAAACTGTTAAGTTATTAACCGTTATATTGGTGTAACGTGGTCATGAAAATTCACAGTCGCAAATTCACTTATTAACTTCAAAGTCGTTTTTTTCGAAAACTTATGTTCGAACTTTCCCTGCCACATATATTTTGTCCAAACCATTTTTCGAAAAAAAAAATTCTAACCAAAGTTCTTTAT